ACAGACACATGGACACACAGCCTCACACAGGACAGACACATGGACACACAGCCCCACAAAGGACAGACACATGGACACACAGCCCCACACAGCATAGACACAGACATACAGCCCCACACAGGACAGACAAACGGACACACAGCCACACACGGACACAGAGCTCCACACAGGACAGCCCCACAGACACACAGCTCCACGCAGGATAGACACACGGACACAGCCCCACAAAGGACAGGCACATGGACACAGCCCCACAAAGGACAGGCACATGGACATAGCCCCACACAAGACAGACACACGGACACACAGCCCCACACAGGACAGACACATGGACACACAGCCCCACACAGGACAGACACATGGACACACAGCCCCACACAGTACAGACACACGGACACACAGCCTCACATAGGACAGGCACACGGACACACAGCCCCACACAGGACAGGCACACGGGCACAGCCCCACACAGGACAGACACACGGACACTCTGCCACACCGTGGTCTTGTCCCCCACCCACACAGACACCTGCCACCTCAGCCCCTGGACCACACGTGACACTGCACCCACGACGGCCATGCCCTCCACCCACACAGCCTTGGAGCTCAGAGCCCCTGACTCGGGCCACCTGGGCCTCCCTGCCCCTCTGTAGTGTGGCTGTGGGAGGTGGGGCAGGGCCCTCCACAGGAGGTCATTGACATGTTAGGGGCCTGTGGAGGCCCTGCTCGGCGCCCCCCCCCCCCAACTGAGGGGTGGGCTCAGAGAGCGGGAAGCTCCTGGCACCCGGCCCCTGGTGCATGTCTTGGAGGACCCCAAGTGCTCTGGGCCCCCCACCTCTGCTCAGCACAGTCCCCTCCTCCCAGGCTCCCAGGGGCCCTACGCTCATGCACCCCAGCTTCTGACCTGAGCGGCCCCTCCTCCAGGCTGCTCCGACTGAGGGTGCTGGGGGGTGTCTCTAGTGGGAGGTATGCAGGGGGGTGGGGTGAGACTGGCCCTGCATGCCCTCTGACCCGTGGCTGGCGTGAGGGGTTCTTGACTGGGACAGGCCAGAATCCATCTGAAAACCATGGGTCTGACTCGGGGCTGAGGGCCACAGGGCTACAGCCAAGGGGTTGCTGGGGGTCGTAGTGTCAAGGGCAGACTGGGCCCACCCCCAGCCTGAAGCAGTGCCCTGTGCTGTCTGACAGGACTCAGGGACAGCCCCTCATGCCCGGTTCACCCCCCACCCCAGGGGGCCGAGGCCATGTGCAGGCACAAAGGGACGCACCGTTGTCCACGGCCAGGAAGGTGGCCTCGTAGATGTTGTTCTTGACGTCGACGGACTCTCGGTCCAGGACGGCCATGGTGGTGACCTGTCCGTTGGTGCTGTTGATATGCAGCCAGTTGGCAGGGTCTGACAGCTTCGAGTACCTGCAGGGACGGGCGAGCATGGAGGGAGGACGGGGCTCAGGGTCCTGGGGCCACTGCCCCGCCCGGTGGCCTGGCCCGATTAGTGGGAGGGAGGGTTGTCCCTCTGCTGTCCCAGGCTCGACACTGTGCGGGGAGTGGGAGGGGCAGCTGGCGGACACGCACTGTGCGAAGCAGGTGGAGGGGTCTGGGGTCTTCATCTGCCTGCGGGGCCTCACACTGAGTCCTTAGGGGGTCAACAGGCCCCCTGGCCTCCCCAGGACACTCTCGTGACCCACCCAGTAGGTGGGGAGACATAGGCAAAGGGGGAGGAGGACCAGCAGCCCCGACTCCACAAGGTTCTGCCTCCTGTTTTGGAAGCAGCGGTGTTGACCTTTGCCCCTCTGGGGCAGGCTGTGTTGTCCCCAGTGAGCGGGAGGGCTGGTGGCCCCCCTGACCACAGGCCCTGAGTTCCTTCCTGCCCTGGAAACCACCTTGGGCCTGAGCTGTGAACCCCCGGTCAGGCCCTCCTCTGGGCAGTGGGGGCTGTGGCCACACCTTATGGCCTGCTGCATGAAGCGGTCGGGGTCTACGGCTGAGAAGGTGGTCAGCACGGTGCCCGTGGGCACTCCCTCCTCCAGGCGGATCAGCTTGTGGTTGGAGGGGAAGTGGGGCGCCTCATTGATGTCCATGATGGAGATGGTGACCCCCGCCGTGGACTGGAAGGACATCTGGATGCCGCTGGCCAGGGGGGCCTGGTTGGACACCATCACGGTCAGCATGAAGGCTCTGTTCAGCTCGTAATCCACTGCCTGGTGAGAGAGACCTGCGGTGAGCTGGTGTAGGGAGTCAGTGTGTCCCACCCATGGCCTACCCAGCTCTGGCCCCCACAGGCCAGCTCCCAGTCCTGCATTCCTGCTGGCTGGCCAGTGGGGGAAGAGAGAGAAGTTGGGGGTCAGTGACCCAGGCCATGGTTCGGCTAGCCATGTCCCTCCGTGACCCCTCCTTGTCTACCTCTCGCAGAAGTGGGGGATGCCTGGCCCCTGGCTCCCTCAGCTGAGTGTGGCAGAGGTCCCCACGGCTGCTCATTGGGGTGCATGACTAAGTGAAGGGTGGGCCCCGGAGACAAGGCCTCTTGAGACCCGAGAGGGACCTCCTGTGGACCTAGGTTTTGTACCCTTGGGTACCCTTGTACCCAAGGACAGGGGTCCTCTAAGAGGAAGGGGAGGGGCTCTGGGCTCACGGCCTGGGGGAGGCCTGGTGAAGTGGTGGGGGCCCGTGAGACAAGCCAGGAGCCCCTCAATTTCACCTTTGGACTTCTAGAAGGTGAGAGACAGGTACTAGGAGAAAGTGGACTTTTGTGTGGCAGCTGCTCTGGGCCAGAGACCACGTCTCAAACCACGTTGTTTACAGTCCCCCAGGAGCTATCAGTCCACCTGGGCTAAGGTGACCCACCCTCTGGTGGGAAACCGGCAAAGGCACTTCCCCTGTGCCCACCCCCCCCTGCCCAGCCTCAGGGCAAAAGGCCCGGGAGGAACTCACTTCAGACACCTTCCTGACCCCCCACGGGATAAAGAAAGGACTTGCCTCAGTGAACTTGGCTTTCTCTCCTAGCCCCGCCCACTAGGCCAGTCAGCGGGAGCAGGCCGCACAGTAGCTCTGAGCACCCCTGGACCTGCATTTGTTGTCTACCTTCCACCCTCACTGAGAGCGGCTGACTTGGGAGTGAGGCCAGAGAGGAACAGGCTGGACTGGGGCCCTCGCCAGAAGGAAGGCCATCCCAGAAGCATGGGCAGCAAACAGCAGCACCCTGGGCGGTGCCCACTGTCTGAGGGACACCAACCCGCAGATGTCCTCCCGCCGGGAAATGCCACTGTCTTTTCGCTCCTTTTTCCCAGGAACGTTTTCAAGCGCCCCCGTGAGACAACAGATTAGGACTTGTTCCAGAGAAGAGCAGCCACGTGTTCTCAGGGTCAGTCAGGGTGACTGAACAAATGGTGGGTCCCCAAGGAACCTGGGACCCCAACACATCACAGTCAGGACAAATGGGCTCTGCAAGACTGATGAGTCATGAAAGGAAGGGCCGGGAGATGGGGTTACAGGGTTGGATCAGGGCTCATTTCAACCAATGTGGAATTTTCCTAGAAAAATATCACCGACTGAAACCATTCCAGGCATCGGCCCAGCAGTGGACAAGCCCCCACGGCCCAAGATAAACGCCAAAGCAAACCCTGTAACCTCCAGGCCCAAACCCTGCACCTGTGACGCACGCCCCCCGATCTGCTCTGGTGCCGCAGCAGGCAGGGTACTCCTGAGACGACTCCGCTAAAGCCTCTACCGAGCCCTGCTCAGGCCTGCGGGAGGGAGGCCTGAGAAGTCAGGCTAAAGCAGACGGCGCCGGGAACCCTTCCTCAGGCTGTGTCACCGAAGCAGGGCCTTCAGGGAACCCCGAGTGAGCCGAAACAGGCAGGACAGCCTTGTCTTTTGGGGTCTCACGGGCTTTCTGGCCTTGACGGGAGGCAGCCTCCCTCCCTCCCACCCTCCTTTAGGTGGGAAGCGTTTGCCATCCTCCTGGGCTCTCCCTTCCCCAGGCCCCTCTGAGTCTCAGGAACGCCGCACCAGGTAACCAGGCTGGGGTGGGGAGTTCTTGTCTGGCCCTGTGGCCGGCCGGGCCCCCTCACCCCGGGGTCACGTCAGGAGGCCCCTGTGAAGGGGGATGTTTTGGCCATCATGCCCTTCGCCCGCCCTGTACACGGAGCGCCGTGGATTCCGTGGAGCATGTGTCTGCGGCAGGACTCTGGGGTCCCGGGCACCCACCTTCACCACAGTGACCATGCCCTCGTTGGTGACGGGGTCTGTGCGGATGCTGAAGTGCCCAGAGGGGTCCCCGCTGATGATGCGGTAGATGGCGTTCCAGTTTGGTGAGTGGGGCTGGTCTCGGTCCATCACGGTGAGGTTGGCGACCACTGTCTCCACTCGGTTCTCGGGGACTTCCCCGGCATACTGCAAGGGGCAGAAGAGAGGCTGTAAGGAGCCCCCCACTGGGGCTGCGGAGGCGTGCCAGGGGCCGTCCAAGGTCCAGGCCTGGGTCCATTCTCCCAGAGCAGAGGGGGAAGGGGAGGCAGGACCTGGTGAGGACGTGTACGTGAGTGTAGGGTCTCCATGTACCAGGGCCTCCTTGCTCTGAGACCAGACACTGGATGGAACCAGGCGACTGCGATCAAACGCTTTGCTGGAACATTCCACAGTCGATACTAATCAAAGGTGGGGGTACTGCAGGACAGAATGCCGAGTTCTCCTGGAGTCATGAGGCCACGGGGGAACCCTTCCCACGAGGGCATCTTCAAACCTCGAGCCACAAATGCCCCCCAGCAGCAGTCTCTGGACCAGACAAGCGGCGGGTCCACCTAGTGAAATCGGCTGCCTTGAAGCTGGGTGCTCTGTGAAGAACTAGCTACCCGAGATCAAACGGACAACAGACAACTCACAAGCCAGGGAGCTCGGGGGACAGCGAGCACATGCTCGTCAGGGACCAACACGCACACGCACACGCACACGCACCCCTCTGAAGCCCCCTTCCGCATCTTGCTATGCAGCACATGGGCAGGCCCAGGGGCCTGGGGGACGCCCGACAAGGAGCTGGGCCTGCAGGATGGGGAGGGCCGTGGTCTCTCAGCTGTCCCCTAAGTCATGGCAGGAGCCGCATTCCCAAGTGCCATGCACACAGAAGAAAGCGGAGGCTCCCAGGTGGTGCTCTGTGGACCACATTTGCGCCAGCATCTCTTTCTGTAAATAAAGCTTTATTGGGACACAGCCAGGCCCATTCAGGGCACACTGTCTGCCTGTTGCTGGCCCCTCGCAGGCCACTGCGTACGTGCATCAGGTCCTCATGCGCATCTGCACAGACCCTGCGTCCCCTGGGCTAACTGACTGCCCTTGGCATGCAACCCCCAAGGGATGGGGCGCCACACAGCGTTTTCCCTTCTCCCCTTAGGAACAGGGTGAGGGGTCACGTGCTGGCCATGTGGGCGCCTGGAAGGAGGCCCAAGTCCAGCAGAGTGGGCCTGGGGCTGCCAGGTGAGTGGGGACCCTGTATGGAGCTGGAGGTAGGCCTAGCTGCTGCCTCTGGGCCCGAGGGGTGGCTCAAGCTTGGGGTCTGAGACTGGGAGGGAGAGGGACCCCATTTTTCCTGAGCCAAGTGCCCCCTGCGAGGACTTGGGCCGTCTCTGGTTTGTGTAGCTGAGCCAGTACAAGGAGCCTGGTGGTGCTGAAGTTAAGGCTGTGAACCGAAAGGCCGGTGGAGGCTTGACCCCCCAGGAAAAAGAAGGGGCAGTCGCTTCCAGAGAGATGGGGGCCAGCGGGGCCGTCAAGTGATACCAGCCACGGCCACCCCAAGTGTACAGAGCTAAGCACCGGTCCTGCGCCTGCTCTTAATGTGCCCTGCCCTGAATGTCTCCTGTCCTGAGTGTCCCCTGTTCTGAATGTCTGTGGCCCGCCCCCCCCTTCTGAACGTCTCCTGTCCTGAGTGTCCCCTGTCCTGAATGTCTCCTGCCCTGCGTGTTCCCTGCACTGTGGTAAGGACTTTCTCTCCCTGTGTGTACCACCACCTGCACCCGTGCCCAACACAGCTGCCCTGGGTGAGTGTGGAGGTGGTGGTATCAGCTGGGGACAGCAGCCCCGGCCCCCACCCTGCAGCCGCTTGGCTCTCAGAAAAGCCGGCTGCAATGAATTATTGATGGCCGAGGTTTGCACAGAGGGCTGGGCATCATTAAGGGCATGGAGTCTGTTCCAGTTTTCAAATGTTGAGTTCTTACACCCGCACCAGGCTGCCCGGCATGGGCCCCTCCCGGGGCTGAGCGTGTAATTGAAAAGCCGGGCTGATTAGAGAGGAGCGGGGATGGGGTGGGGGATGGGGAGTGGACTCAAGGTCCAAAGGAGGCCGCAGGGTGGTGGGAACCGGGGCTGGCCCACTTTCTGTCCAGCCACTAAGGATGAGGCTGCCCCTCCACCTGGCCAGGGTCAGGGCTCCGCTGGACCCTGGGCCTCATGGGACAGAGCTGCCGAGAAGAACCTTCTGTCCTTGTGGCTGCAGGCAGGGCTGCCCTGTCTCCCACCCAGCAGGCTGGTTCCGGCTCAACATGCATTGAGGCCCCAAACCCCACTACCCCCAGGTGGCCCCCATCACAGAGAACAATCCCTGCTCCCCCAAGTGTTCATGGCAGCTGATCTCTCTCCTCAGGGATTCCGACCACCGACCTTGGGTTAGCAGGTGATCACTAAACTACTGCCCCCAGGACTCCTTGGGAAAGGCCCCCCTACATCGCCTCACTGTCACCCACCCTCCTCCCATTTTAGCACATGGGGAACCCACTCAGGGCATTTTTGGGTGCTTCTGCCCACCGGGCTGGGACGGTTCCCAGGGCTATTGAGACCAAAGTCAGCCTGCCCCGCCACAGGAGGGGTCCCTGGGGCGGAACCGGCTCAGGGACTCCTGCCTCACACCATTCCATTCCCCCAAGGGGCGTAGCGACTTCGCTCACAGGGTCTGTCTCCCAGCCAGAGGCCGCACCACTGGGGCACCGAGGGTCAGGCCTGGATCTGTGGTGTCAGGACGGGGCCTCTGCAGGCCCTGGACGTCGAGTCTGAAGGGTGGGTGGGGGTGGGGGCCTGGCTTGGAGCCTGGCAGACCTGAATGTGGGCTTGGCACAGGAGAGGCTGCCGGTTGTCCATGGGACCGAGTGTGGCATGCTGGAGGCCGAGGGAAAGGACTTAATTAACATTTAAGACTAGGAGTCGGATCATGGCCCCACCCCCCCCTTCCTTGCCCCTCCTACTCCGGCAGCTTCTGCTGATTGTCCTTGATTAAAGCTGACAAAAATAGCCTCGCTGGGGTGGTGACCCGGGTGGTCTCCCCCCCCACTCCCTCTAGGCCGCCCCCCCCAACTGTACTGATTAGACCTGCTTGTCACTGTCCCGGAGGTGGCTGAGGGCGGGCCCGGCAGGCCCATTCTGACCTGGGGACCAGTCTCCCTGACCTTGCAGGGAGAGCTGTGCCTGGGTTTCTGGGGCCTGACTTGGCCAGGCCTCTCCTGCCACACCTCTGGGCGGCCTTGACCCCCACCCTTGTGGTGAGCTGAAAGTGCAGTGGGTGCACACAGCAGGGACTCTGGGTGCGAGGGGCCCAGGGGCGGGACAGCTGGAGAGCCTGGCTGGGTCACACCCACCGACCCTCTCGCTACGAGAAGCGGGCATGCCTGACCCACTGTGACACACTGGGCCCAGCTGCCCAGGTCAGCTGGACAGACGGCCGGCCAGGGTGGTGGGAGCTGCTCCCCCAGGAAGGTCTCTGAAAAAGTCTACTGCCCCGAGGGCACAGATGGGGCCATCCGGTCACCCTGGGCTGGGCTGTGTCTGGGAGCACCTGGGAAGGGGTGCCTCCTCCTGGGGGGCTGCAGCACCTCCGATGGGGGCCTGGAGCACAGGTAGAGGAAGGGGCCTTTGTTATTGGAGTCTGGGCCCCCCACCTGGTTCCTTTCCCCCCCTCCCCACCGTGCTGAGTCTACCCGTGGCCTTGGGAGACAGGCATGCCTGGGGGTGGGCGGCACTTCCCACCCTGGGATAGATGCCCCGGGGCCCAGGTGTTACTGCTAGGCACGACTTCTCTGTCCAGGGGCTGTGCAGTGGGCTTGGGGTTTGAATGTGCAGACAGACAGGGGAAGGACCTGGAGCTGACCAGCCCCAGACCAGGGAGGACTGGGCCTCTAGATGCCGGCCGCACCACTGGGAGTGTCCACTGGGTGTCGCTGTGCGCTCTTGGCCGTGGAGGTGCAGTGGGTCCTGGCACTGCCTGCTCACCGCTCTATGGCTGGCCATGGGCGTCCAGCACAGCTTGGCAGGGGCACTGGCCTGTGCACAGGGCACCTCGGGGCTCCCCAAGGCCTGCTCTGTGGGGAGCTGAGGTCCCCTCTACCCCTGCAGACCCTCCAGAGGTGACCACAGCCAGTGTGGCTCTGCTCTGCTCTCCCTTCTGCCTGGAGCCCCTGGTCCCTGGAGAAGGGCAGAGGGGGAGGGCAGGGGACAAGGTGGCCCAGGGGTGCAGGTGGGGAGGGAGGAGGGGGAGGAGGCCTGAGCCTAGGAGCCCCGCCTGTCGGGATAACTGGGGTTGCTTAGGTAAGAGCCCCAGGGAGCCCTGGGGAGCATGGTAGGAGGAAGGGAGGGGTGCCCAGGGCAGCAGTGGCACCTGGGAGGACCTCACGGAGGGTGGGGTGGTGGTGGGGGAGCTGTAGCATCCACGGGAAAGGTACTGGCTCCCTCCCCATAGTTCCTGACTCTCAGCCCAGCTGAGGTCCCACAGATGGCCCGTCTCTGCGGGGTGAGGCCAAGGTGCCCACAGGTACCTGGGCCACCCAGGAGACCTGGTCCTCAGGGAGCCCGGTGTGGCCACCCTTTGAGGGACCCTGGCCTCTTCTTGTCTGGTCACCCTGTGCAGGTACCCACTGCCCATCACCCCCCCCCCCCACATACATGCACATATAGCTACACACACATAGTGATCTCAGGTTTGGGGTGTGTGTGTGTGTGTGTGTGTGCGCGCGCGCGCGCGCGCGTGCGCGCGTGTGCAGGGCACTCACGGTGCTGGTGGTGAACTCGGGCGGGTTGTCGTTGACGTCGGCCACGGTGATGATGGCCGTGGCAGTGTTGGAGAGGCCATAGTTGAGGTTCCCCTCCATGTCCGTGGCCTGGATGATGACAGTGTACTGATGGACCTTCTGCAGGTGGGAGAACAGCGGTCAGCGTGCTGGCCTGACTCACACTGCACTGCCTGCTGCCCGCCCGGCAGGTGGGGGTGCGGCTGGCCCCATGAGTCCCCGCGCGGGCTGCTGGCCGCCTGGAGAGGGACGCCCTCAGCACGTCCAGCAGCAGGTTTGGGCAGAGCGGCTGCGATCCGGCCTCAGCGGCTTCCTCCAGCCTTTATCATGCTGGGATCCGGGGGCGCGGCGTCCAGGGAAGGAGGTTCTGTGGAGGGTACCCCCGCCCCCAGGGGAGGCCTGCTTGCTGTGGGGCAGCAGGGGCTGGGGGGTGGATGACACCCAGGGCAGGTACGGGCTTCAGTGACCAGTCAGAGTGGCTGGACAGTGCATAGATGGGCAGGCTGGGTCCTTGGCCCCTGCCCTCCACCGGCAGAGCCCGGTTGGCCTGTTCCACATTCCCTGGCCCACGACTCTCAGGCGGTCCCTGGGAGGCAGGCGAAGCCCAGCTGGTGGCTCTGCAGAGGTCAGAGGGTGCTGTGGCCATGCCCCCCGGCTCCCTGAGTGGTTAGGGAAGACCGGAGCGGCCGTCCCCATGCAAGACTTTGCTGCGGAATCAGGCTCCGCCCATGGGGTTCAGTTCTCAGTCTGACCGAAAAGTCTGCAGTCAAACCCACCCAGAGGTTCCAGGGGGCGAGGCCGGGCCACCCACTCCCACAAAGGGCCTGTGGGGCCGTGCTGCGCTCTGTCACGTGGGGTCCATGTGGGTTGGGGTTGTCTCTCAGGCCACCCTGCCCGCGCAGAAGCTAGCTGACACACCCGTGTTCTCACATAAGCAACCCGGCCACGCCCGTTGTCAAGAACAGTGTCCCGCCCCCTGGTCTCCTGCTAGCCCCCCTCGGTCCTCAGCCTGGCCCAGTGCAGAGGGGATGTCTGCTGTGTCACCGGCTGGCTGAGCCCTGGTGCGGCCCCACACAGGCAGGAGGGCCGCCTGGCTTGGGCACCCTCCAGATGGCCCTGAGCCTCATGCAGCTTCTCCCATGAGCTCTGTGGGCCACAGGGAGTCACAGGAGCCAATGCAGGCCACCAAACTAAAGTCCCGGGGCCCAACGGCCTTGCCCTTTGTGGTTTGGCAAGTAAAGTTTTATTGGCCCCCACCTGGCCCTCTCATTGACTGGGGGCCAGAGAGTGAGTGTGTCCCTAGGAAGGCTGGGTGGGTGGGGTGGGGGGCGTACCTGCCCAGCTGGCAGGGGAGGGCGTGGGGCAAGACTAGGGAAGGTCTGGGACCCAAGCCTGCTGCCCACACTGCCCCCACCCTGGCACCTGAGGCTCGGCCTGGGCCCAGCGCTGGCACTGCCGTTTGGGTCAGCACGCAGGGAGGTGTACTTTGGTGGTTTTCTGGGGCTGGGGTACCCCCTCCGTGCGCCCCTCTCATGACCCCCCTCCCGTGGGCCCCTGCAGGCAGGTGTCAGGAGAGGAGGGAGCAGGAAGCGTCTCTTCAAGGGGACTCTCCACTGGAGAGAGGAGACAAGTGCTGTCATCAGGCCTGGCAGTGGCAGCAGGGTGCAGACCCCCGAGGGGAGGCGCTGGGGGTGGGTCTCTGTGAGCGGTGGTGATGACAGAATCACCAGACTCCTGCCCCACAGGAGACAGCGGGGGCCACCTGATTCCCGCCCCCCCCCACGGGGGAGGGTGCTGCTCTCGGTGGACAGGTGGGGGAGGAGAGGAACGGTTGTGGCATCTCTCCCGGGGTGGCTGTGCCCAGCAGCACTGGTCGTGGTGTGGCGATTCAGCGCTCGGCTGCGAACTGGACGGCTGGTAGGGGGGGGCACCTGGGTGGGTGGGCATCCAGCCCTTGATGTTCCCGGCTGCGGCCTGACTAGAGCTCCCAGAATCCTCCCTGCCTCCTGCATGCCCAGCCGCTCCCGGCTCTGAGCTGAGTGTTTTCATTTGGAATGTTCTGCAGGCCAGGGGTGGAGAGGCCAGGCCTGGAGGCTGGGGGTGGCTCGGGGTGCCGCCTGGCTCGCCTTACTGGGTGGGGGCCTCCGTCCCTGAAGAGGCCATGGTGCCCTCTGCTGGGCACACACACTGGCGTGGGGGAACCCACGGACCGTGGCCCAAGGACTCCCCCTCCCCTAGAGCCTGCAACATTCCTCACGCCCCACTGCTGCGGCCGTTTCGCATTTTTAGCTCAGAAGGAGAATCCCCAGTTGGGTGCGCATTTCCGTTTGGTCTGAGAGATACCATTACTCACTCGCCAAACAGAAATGGGAAACACCCCGGGCCTTCCAGCCTCTATCCCCACCCAGTCAGTCTTCCAGGGACGGGCAGCCGGGGACGCTTCTGGCCAGCAGGCGGCACTGGTCAGTCTTGGTGAGCTGGCGGGAGGGAGCCAGGCAGGGGAGCCACAGGTGGGCTCGGGCTCTACCCAGCCCCCTGGCTGTGACCTCAGGGACCCCCCCCCCCCATGCTTCTAAGGGCACTGAGCAATGCTGACTGCCTGGAGCAGGGTGGGGCGAGCACTCCCACGGCGGGAGCAGGTGGCACTAAGCTCTGAGACTTTGTGGCTCAGGGGCCGAGACGCAGAAACGCAGGCAGAGCCTGGAGAGATGTGGCCACCAGCCAAGAACACCTGGGCCGCCTGAAGCCGGGTGAGGCAAGGAGCCACCCCGAGACTCATGGGGGTCTGTCTGACACCCCTGCCTACCGCACACGCGCGGGGCAGGCTTGGTGCCTGGCAGGGTGGACGAGGAGACACCTGCTCACCAGGGCATCCGGTTGCACTGTCCCGGGCCCTGAGGTGCAAGGGGTGGGGCACAAGCAGGGCTGGGAGCAGGTGGGGGCCTGCCTCTTGGCGCCCGTGCAGAGTGGGGACCCACCTCCCGGTCCAGGCCAGCGGCCACCGTCACCATGTCCCCCGTCTCGCTGTTGATGGTGAACATGTTCTGGGAGGGACTCTGTGGGGTCTGTGTCACGATACGGTAGCGCACCAGCCCGTTGGCGGTGGTGACGTCGTCGGCGTCGTTGGCGGTGACCGTCATCACGTAGGTGCCTGGAACAGAAGCCAGCTCGGTGGAGCCCGCCCTGCCCCCCCCCCCTCCAGGCCCTGATCTCCCCTCCAGGCTCGACTGGCCACAGCACCCCCAATGGCAGAGCTGGGGCGCCTTGCACCCCTATATGAAGCCATTGCAGCGCAGGCCCTGACCCCCTCCTCTCTCAGCAGGGTGGGGGCAGGAAGAACCCTCCAGCTCGGGGCCAGGGGCCACAGAGACCAGGCTCCACAGGGCCCAGAACCACACACAGCCTCAGGGACCAGGGCTCATCTGTCCCTGGGCTCCCCCGTCCTGGGCTGAGTCTGGCCCAAATTCCACCTCAAACTCACTGCAGGACCGGCCAGCGCTGCCCGGGCGCTTTCCGGCTGTAACTCCTTACCGGGGCGGAAAGTCTCATCTTTCTCTCGAAGAGCCAGGGGCTGGGGGTTGGGCTGCTGACCTTGTGGTTCTGGAGCGGGTTTATCTGAGAGACATGCGGACGGGGTGGGGTGAGTCAGGTGGAGAGGGCTCTGGGAGCGGGGCAGGCCTGGGACAGGTGAGGTCTCCTACCAGAAGCCCGGAGAACAGGCCCCGGAGGTAGGATGGGGACGGAGGAGGGGCTCGGGCTGAGCGGGGTCAGGGGGCTCAGAGGGCCACTGCACACATGGTTGCTAAGTATCTTCCACGGTGTGTGTGGGTGTCCTGTAGAACAGTGGATTAAGCGCTGGGCTACTGACTGCGAGGCGGGCAGTTCAAACCCACCAGGTGCTCAGAGGGGGAAGCAGGAGGCTGTTCCCATGCAGGAACCGCGAGGGGCAGCTCTGCCCTGTCCGACAGCATCCCCGGGAGTGGAGGCCACTAGATTGGCGGTTGGG